CCTTGACAAAATATATATATATATGTGTGTGTGTGTATATTCAAGACCAAAAAGAATAGTATGTATAAATGAAATATTTTGTAATAAATTATAATTTTTTTTAATTTTTTGATATTATAAATATTTTAATTATGTATGTAACAGACTAATGTATTATCATTAGTACAAAAATGACTTTTAAAATCGGAGTTTTAAAATCGGTTATAAGGTAGCTGATTTTAAAAGTGATGCGGTGGTAGTTTTGTAAATAATGGCAGTACTTTTAAAATTGGCTATCATATGACCGATTTTAAAAGTCTTTGATGTTACTTTTAAAATCGGCTCTTCAGTAGCCGATTTTAAAAGTGCTACTTTTAAAATCGGTCATGAAGTAGCTGATTTTAAAAGTGATGCGGTGGCAATTTTGTAAATAATGACATTACTTTTAAAATCGGCTACTTTGTGACCGATTTTAAAAGTAGCACTTTTAAAATCGACTATTCAAGAGCCAATTTTAAAAGTAGCATCAAAGGTTTAATTTGTACTCGGTCATTCTATCCCTTCCCCTCCATTCTCTCATCTTTGCCTCCATATTTTCTCTAGATTAAGCTACGAATATATTCTTCTCTTTACTCCGTTGGGCTCTCATCTCTCATCTAAAGTGTCCAGCTTGATATATTCTTCTTGGAAGGTAACATTGTCTTCTCATGTATGTTATTTCGTTGTTGCTGGGCGACTTTTTAAACTGGAACGGCCCGTTCTACTTGCAGAACGGCCCGTACTATAGGCAGCACGGGCCGTTTCGCTTGCAGAACGAGCTGTGCTGCAGGTAGCACGGGCCGTTCCGCAGGCAGAACGGGCCATTCCGGGACCGTTCTAGACTAAAGTTTTAGGTATTTTTCGGATTCCGGAACGGCCTGTTCTAGTTTAGGAACGGCCCGTTCCAAAGTGGGCTCCTTTATAATTTCTTTTTTGACTCACCATTGCTTTATATAGACAAATTAGGTACCCAACTTAGAAAATTAGACACCTTGTATGTATGTGTTATATATTTGTATTTTATTAATAATTTGTGATATAATTAATTTCTACCTAGTAATTTAGTGTTTAGAAAAATTAAGTGCTTTATTTGATTTTTATAAATTAATATGATGTTATATTTATGCACATATTGAGTGAACCTTAGTTTCCCATTTGAAATTTAATATAAATGATTAAAATAGTGAGATTAACGTTCACGTGGTCTATGTTTTTTTTTATGAAGAACAAAAGTTAT